GACTCTGTTTACATATTACTATCCAATGTCTATAGGAGAAGAATTTTATGTATCACTACTTTGCTGACAGGTCTGCTTCTACTATATCTACAGAAGTGGATTTTTTAATCCACAGTTTAAAAAGTACACATACAGGAACTTTCACTTCTAGAATGACTGAATAAGAACCTTCAACAATCTACTCCTCCTTAAAAGCAACAAGAGCACTGGCATAAACAGTCAAAATCAACATTTTCAGAACTCTAGAAATTAACTAAAGGAGCCAGGCATGGTGGCTCACAATTGTAATTCTAGCTACTTGGGAGGCTGAGATCAGTAGGATCTCAGTCTGAGACCAGCCTGGGCAAAAAAGTTCACAAGACCCCATCTTAACCAATAGCTATGTATGGTGTTGTGTGCCTGTCATCCTGGCTACAAGGGAGGCTGAGATCAGAGGATCGTGGTTCAGACTAGCCTGGAACAAAAAAATTTACGAGACTTTATCTCAACCAATAAAAGCTGGACGTGAGGGATGTGTCTGTCATCTCAGCCATTGAAGAAAATATAAAATAGGAGAATCATAGTCCAGGCTGGCCTGGGCAAAAAGCAAGATCCTTCTCAAAAATAACCAAAGCAGGCTGGCAGAGTGGCTCGAGTGGTAAGAGCACCTGCGTAGCAAGTGTGAGGACCTGAGTTCAAACCCCAGTGCCACCAAAAATAAAACAAAACAAAAAATAATAACCAAAGCAAAATGCACTGGCAAAGTAGCTCAAGTAGTAAAGCACAAAGCCCTGAGTTCAAACTCCAATACCGCAAAAAAAACAAAATTGAAAACAAAAAAAACCTAAAGGACTACAACAATATAAGGAATGTTCATTCAAGAAAAATGGCTGAATCTTAGTAACAAGAATCTTGTTGTGCTTTTAACTCTTCCTCCTCTCCCTAGCTGTGTAGTAGACTTAAAAGCCACCAGCCTCACAATCACAGTGCTAAAAAACTAGCAGCCTCACAGCTACAAAACAGGTAGAATGTGTTTAGAGCTCTCAGAAGCCAAATCCCCAAAGAACGGTCAACTATTTGACCTGTCCTGCAGCTAGCTCCATTTTCAGAGTCTGTCATTATCTTACCTGACTCAGAGCTCACTCTGTGTGACAGCTCTACCCAGCCACAACTATTTAACTCAGTTGAACTACAAAACGCTGAACAAAAAACTTAAAAAATAACAACAAGCACTAACAATAATAAACTAGGGAAAGGAAAAAATCTGATTTCCATAGATGACACATTAAAATGCCCTGGTTTCAACAAAAAATATGATACATCAAAAGAAACAGGCAATTATAGACCATACATAGGGAAAAAAAGTAGTCAACAGAAACTGTGCCTCAGGAAGCTCAGCTCAGTCTTACTCAATGAAATCAATATCAAAGAACTAAAGGAAGCCATGTCTAAGAATTAATGAGAAGAATGAGAACAATGTTTCACCAAAAGAGAGTATCAATAGAGAGAATAAGACTGGAATATTAATTGGTCATAAAAATAAGTGATTATATACATGCTACAACATGGAAACTACTTGTTTTCACAAATTTTCAAAATTATAAATACCTTTGATTACATAATCACTTCTAGTAAACTACCATATGGAAATGTATGCATGTACAACAAAGAAATAGTTAATATGAATGTTCACTATAGCTCTGTGTATGACAGAAATTGAAAAAAACTTACATCTACAGATTATGTAGTTTTTTTAAAGAGAGAAAAGAAAATAAAGACATAATCCTATATTAAATACAATGAAAGATTTCCAACTCATGTAGTTATATCAAATAAGCCTGCTTCTCTGAGTACAGATATAAACATGAAGATACACAAAAAGCAGATTAAGGGGACCAAACTAGCCAAGCACTAGTGGCTCACGCCTGCAATCCTAGTTACTTAGGAGGCAGAGATCAGGATGATTTCGGTTCAAAGTCAGCCTAGCAAACAGTTCACAAGACCCTATCTTGAAAATACCCAACACAAAAAAGAGCTGGCGGAGTGGCTCAAGTGATAAGAGTGCCTGCCTAGCAAGTGTGAAACCTGAGTTCAAACCCCCGTACCACCCACTACCCCGCAAAAAAAAGAGAACCAAAGTATTTTCAGTAGTTATGTTTGAGAAAGGCAATTGGGAGAGCAAGAATGAAAAGGGATGTTTTCATACTTGTTCCGTACCTTTATCATTTGTATAATTTACATGATTATGATTTCATGTATTTTTTAATTAAGGAACAAAATTTTAACTCCAGATTCCTAAAGCTTTATTTATGTGAAATCTGAACAAAAGTTCTTTATAAATTATTGCATTATTCCTGAAACTCTAAAAAGTGCTTGGAAATACAGATAAAAATAAACTGCATACCTTGCAACCTGCAAAGGTTGTTCACTCTGGAGAGTTTGCTTATCTGCAGCCAAATCCCAGAGTGCTGGTGGTGCCAGGCCAGTGTCAGACTCTTTAATACCTATGGAGAGAAACAGAACAGAATTCACTGAAATGCAGTACTACTGCATTAAAAGCAAGCTTTCTCAACCACAGCACCTCTGACATTTTAGGATGAAACTCTTACAAGGATTGTCTGATATATTTTTGGACGTTTAGCGGCATCCCTGGTCTCTAGCCACTAGATGTCACTAGTACCCCCTCCTCAAGTCAGGAGAATCATGACACCTCTAGACCTTGCCAAATCCTGGGGGGGGCAAAATCAACACAGTTGAAAAACACTGCCCTAAAGCAATTATCAAATCAAAAAAACATTTTCATATAGGTCAAATATAGAGAGTTTTACCACTCAAGTTCCCAAGAAAATTTCCAACTATTAGGCAATGGCCCACTTACTTTAGCAATACTATGTGAAATCATATTTTTATTCAATTACTGAACTTATAATTATTGTGATTTATTGGAGCTTACTGAAGTAGGCTTTATCCAATAGAAACATTACTTTCTTAGAGGATGATTTTTTTTTGTATTTTATTATTCATGTATTCACATTCCTCAGAGGATGATTATGCTTATTAATTGCATAAGAATTAAACCTAGTTGTAAAAAAGCAATGAAAGAGATTACTAAATACCCTCCAATTTCTTAACAGATTAGAAAAGATAATCTTTTTAATCTGTAATTCACAAAGAAGCAAAATTTGTATTTAAACTTTAATTGGCACATCATTTAAAGAGAGGAAATGCAAATAAAAAAATGCATACCCGTGAGCTCATTAATTTTTTTAAGAAGTTGTTGAATGTCATCCTCAACCTGCTTGATCTGCCTAGAGTAAGTGCTTTGACCCTAAGTGAAGATCAGTTTAATTAGAACATCAGCATTTCAACAATTTATTAAACAGATTTTAAACTTAACATTTAGAATCTTAATAGCTTTACATTTCCAAAGTCTGTGAAGTGAAAAGAAGGGAATGTATCATTTTTCAGAAGTATTCCTAAGCCAATAATTTCCCCCCAGCCAATCCACCAGCATGCAAGGTAAGAAATGAAAATAAGACTGATTTCTATGCATACGAACTTTCCATTTCAGATCTAATTCAGTTATATACATTTAAAATACAGTAAACATTTGTGTAAATTATTTCAAATATTTTGCAATATAATACCATCCTTAAATTAGAAATAGTATAAATGTAATGTTTAAGTTTAGACATGCTGAATACTTACTCTCTGATCTAGTCTAGATAGAAATTTTAGGTAAGTACCTTTTTTCAGTGAAGATTACTATGAACTACTAACGTTCTCTTCTAATTAGTATGTAAAGGCAAAACCAAAACAGTTTTTTTTAACATAAAACATCTACATTTTAGTTGTATAAAGGACTTACGTAAGTTTTCAGCAAGGCAATATCCCCCTCATCCAGAGCTAACAGAAGAGAAATACATGAGATTCAATAAGAAATGGAAACTGATCTATTTATCTGTTCAATTTGAACTGCTTTAATTGCCAAAAATTGAGGAAGATTATGATGATATATACAACATAGATTTAAGGAACTTTTATTTAATTGGGGGAGGGGAATAAAACACATTGTATACGTGACATGTTTTATATACTTTAAACACATCTATTAAGGATCTTGGTTGAATATACTATATTCAAACAATGACATACAATGCAACCATTAAAGTGATAATTCAGTGCAGTGCTTGTACTAGTAAATGAAACAGGCAGGTTAACAAAAATACAGAATGTGCATATTTGTTTCTATGCAAAAATCCTTTAAAATAAATGTGGAGGTGAGACTTACTTGTGTTCACCTGAATGTTAACCGTGGTTATTGGGATTTCAAGTGATTAATAGTCAATCCTCTTCAATGGTGGATTCTGCATCTGTGAATCTGCCTAGTAACTAAAATTTAATTGCAATCCCCAAATCAATAGTCACATGCTTTTGTGGTTATTTTCAAACATACATAGTGCCCTCTTGTTTCAGAAATGACCAGATGACAGAAATGTTGGGGTACTGAAGTATTGCCCATGAAGCTCACCCACCAGTTGAACAGGGTTGGATCCCAACCCTGAAATCTGTTAGTGGGGTAGCCTCAGGCAAGTCACTCAATACTTCCAACTGTTTACTCTTTTGTAAAATAAAGAAAAGACATCTATGTATGAGGATGAGTTGTTTGAAGATAGGGATCTGGCTGAGCACTGTGGCTCGTACCTGTAATCCTAGCTACTTGGAAGGTTAAGATTGACACTCCAGGCCAGTACATGAGACCCCAGCAGAACCAATAAAAGCTAGGTATGGTTGCAAGCGTCTCTCATCCAAATTACTCGGAAAGCATCAATAGGAGGGTCAGAATAGTGGTCGAAGGCAGCTGGGCATAAATTGAGACCCTATCCCCTAAGTAACTAAGAGCTAAAAGGTCTGGGTGCATGGCTCAAGTGGGAGAGCACCTGTCTAGCAAGCCTAAAGCCCTGAGTTCAATCTCCAGTACCATGTGCACAAAAAGATTAGGATCTGTAAGATCTATCTGTCTATCTATCTACCATCTATTCCTTCTCTTAGGAGCAACAGTTTAGTATTTGTAGGGACTTTGTAGAACATACCTACAATGAATATCAAAAAACAATTGTGTATTTTAAAGAATATATTTTTGTTACCAGTGCCAGCAGCTCACACCTGTAATCCTAGCTACTTGGGAGGCTGAGACTGGAAGATGGTAGTTCAAAGCCAGCCTGAGCAAATAGTTTGGATGACCCCATCTTCAAAATAACCAGAGCAAAATGGACTGTAAGTGTGGCTCAAGTGGTAGAGTGCCTACTTTGCAAGGAAGAAGCCCAGAGTTCAAACCCCAGTCTCACTCCCAACCCCCAAAACAGGATATTTTTTTTTCAATTTGGAATGATAAGCTATTTTCACAGGGCTGGGTAGCTTTAAAAAAAAGAATGGTAGAAGAAAAAGCATGCTTAGATAACAGCAACTACATCAGTTTAGTTAGGTGAAATATAGTATACTTGCAGAAAAATTGGGCAGTTGGAGGTTTGGAGCCCTGGAAAGGTATTTCATGAGTTCCAGAATGAATTAGTAGGGGCAACAGCACATCTGGACATTATAGGAACTGCACCTTAGAAAGAATTAGCTAAGGAACAGACTGAATGATATATGAGGCCAGTTGGAGGTCACAAGAACCTCCTGTAGGATGGTGCCAACAAAAATGGAAAGAAAAATTTGGATAAAAAGTCCTCAGAGGAAAAATCTGCAGTGTATGCCAACTGAATGAATCGAGGAGCTGAGGAAGAGAACAATCAAACATGATGCCCAGGCTTTGTACCTGGGCATCTCGATGGAAGGTGGCACTTTCTAACAGAACAGAGAACTCATGACAGAAACTGGTAGCAAAGGAAAATACCCAGCTTCCATCTCAATTTTCTTCCGCAGCATGTTGTATTACTACCTGTGCAGAAGAGTAAACAAAGCACAACTGTTCTCGTTTGAAAAGACCTACATACAAGGTTTGCCCTTGGTTGATGTCTGAAAATGTGGATTTGGGGAGGGTTTCCACCATTTCTAGAATGGATAATATTAGTAGTTCACTGAGTGCACAAAGCACATGATTTATACAAAACACCTGCTTTCTTTCTGAGAGTCTAGAGTTTTGATATGTGCTTGGCAAAGGCTGCCTACATGACCAGCCCTAAATAAAACACCAGGCAGAGTCTCTAACACACTCCCCTGGTTGGTAACACTATACACATGTTGTCACAAGTTGTTACTAGGAAAATTAGAAGCATCCTGTGTGACTCCACCAGAAGACAAACCTTGTCTTCTTCACCCCAATGTCCCTTATACCTTTTGTTTTTATTGATTTTGTTTTGCATTTTTTTGCTATAATAAATCATAATCACAAGGCCAACTGTACTGAATCTGAAGATAGTTTTAGGGACTCCCTAACAGTATATCCCAATGTGCAATCTAAAAGGCAGAGAGAAATCTGATGCTACATTCAGGTGCCAGCATAAAATCAAAAAAATTATCAGAGAATCACATTTGAGAGGAGGTAGTACAAGATAAGAATGAATGAAATCAAAAATCAAAACTTTAGGAAAAAAAAAAACAACACATGAAGCTAGTGGAGTGGCTCATGTGATAGAGCGACTGCCTGGCAAGTGTGAAGCCCTGAGCTCGAAAAAAGAAGTCACATGAAAACATTATATGAAGGAAAGAGAAGCAGCTTTCAAAGGGAGGACAAACAGAAATGTTCAGTAAGAGACATGAAGGCAAGCTAAAGCTTAATAAGTAATAAAGGAAGATGCAGTGGGCAAAATAACAACTGCCATTTATTGAAATATTTACTGTATGGTGCACTGTTATTAGAGATATAATGCATTATTTATTCCTTAATAAGCCTATAAAGTGAGAGATTGAAAAATCTACCCTAGAGTTCATTTGGAAACACAAAAGACTGCAAACAGCCAAGGCATTGAGCAAAAAGAGCAATGCTGGAGGTATCACAATACCTGATTTCAAACTATACTACAGAGCCACAGCAATGAAAAATAGCATGGTACTGGCACAAAACAGATATGAAGACCAGTGGAACAGAAAAGAGGACCTGGATATGAATCCACACAGCTATGTCCTCCTTATTTTTAACAAAGGCACCGAAAACATACAATGGAGAAAAGACAGCCTCTTCAACAAATGGTGCTGGGAAAAAGTGGCTATCTACCTGCAGAAAACGAAACTAGATCCATGCCTGTCACCCTATACTAGTATCAACTCAAAGTGGATTAAGGAGCTTAATAGCAGACCTGAAACCTTGCAGTTAGTACACGAAAGAGCAGGGAGTATCCTGGAAACTATAGGAATAGGCAAGGAACTCCATCAGTCAAGCAACTAAGGGAAAGGATGGACAAATGGGACTACATGAAATTAAAAAGCTTCTGCACAACAAAAGAAATGGTCTCTAAATTGAAGAGAACAATACAGAGTGGGGAAAAATATCTGCTAGCTTTACATCAGACAAAGGACTGATAACCAGAATATACACAGAGCTCAAAAAACTAAACTCCCCAAAAATCAGTGAACCAATAAAGAAGTGGGCAAATGAACTACACAGAACTTTTTCTAAGGAAGAAATCCAAATGGCCAAAAAACACATGAAAAAATGATCACCATCCCTGACCATAAAGGAAATGAAAATCAAAACCACACTAAGATCCCATCTCACCCGTTAGAATGGCTATCATCAAGAACACCACCAAAAACAATTGCTGGTGATGTGGGGGAAAAGGTAACCCTCATACACTGCTGGTGGGAATGTAAGCTAGTACAACCACTATGGAAACCATTACGAAGAAAAACTAAACATATATCTGCCATATGATCCAGCAATACCACTTCTAGGGATATACCCGAAGGAATGTGACTCAAGTTATTACCAAAGCCCCTGCACACCCATGTTTATTGTAGCACTATTTAAAACAGCCAAGCTATGGAAACAGCCAAGATGCCCCACAACCAACGAATGGACCAAGAAAATGTGGTATTTATACACAATGGAATTTTACTCAGTCACAAAGGATGAAATTTTGTCATTCACAAGTAAATGGGTGGAACTAGAGAACATCATCTTTTTTTTTAATTGTTTTATTATTCATATGTGCATACAAGGCTTGGGTCATTTCTCCCCTTTGCCCCCACCCCCTCCCTTACCACCCACTCCCTCAATACCTGGCAGAAACTATTTTGCCCTTATCTCTAATTTTTTTGAAGAGAGAGTATAAGCAATAATAGGAAGGAACAAGGGTTTTTGCTGGTTGAGATAAGGATAGCTATACAGGGCATTGACTCACATTGATTTCCTGTGTGTGTTGCCTTCTAGGTTAATTCTTTTTGATCTAACCTTTTCTCTAGTTCCTGGTCCCCTTTTCCTATTGGCCTCAGTTGCTTTTAAGGTATCTGCTTTAGTTTCTCTGCGTTAAGGGCAACATATGCTAGCTAATTTTTTAAGTGTCTTACCTATCCTCACCCCTCCCTTGTGTGCTCTTGCTTTTATCATGTGCTCAAAGTCCAATCCCCTTGTTGTGTTTGCCCTTAATCTAATGTCCACATATGAGGTAGAACAGACAATTTTTGGTCTTTTGGGCCAGGCTAACCTCACTCAGAATGATGTTCTCCAATTCCATCCATTTACCAGCTAATGATAACATTTCGGAGAACATCATCTTAAGTGAAGTTAGCCAGGTTCCGAAAGCCAAAAGCTGGCTACTCAGGAGGTAGTATTCAGGAAGATCATGAGTTGGAGGCTAGCCTGGGCAAAGAGTTAACAAGACCCCATCTCAACCAATAAGCTAGGCGTGGTGGTATTCCAGCTACATAGGAAACTACAACTAGGGGGATCTGGGTCCAGGGCAGTCCCAGGGAAAAAAACTAAACAAAAAACAGCTAAAGCAAAAAGCACTGGAACCATGCATAAAGGAGTAGAGTGCCTGCCTAACAAGTGCACAGTCCAGAGTCCAAATCCTAGTACTGTCAAAAAAAATGAGTTTTCTTAGGCATATTTCAAGTGTTTTTAGCATATTTATAGGAATAAACAGAGAAAATTTCACAGGAAAACAAACAATGGAGGTGGTAACTGACAAAGTCCCAGAGGAGAAAGGGCAAAATCAGTATTACATCCTCTAAAACAAAAAAAAGGAAGGATTGAGGTTCCAGGCCAGCTCAGTCAAATAGATATCCAGACTCCATCTCCAAAATAACCAGAGCGAAATGGAAGGAGGTGCGCCTCAAGCAGTACAGAACCTGCTTTGCAAGCATGAAACCCCAGAGTTCAAAACCCCACCAAAAATAAATAAATAAATAAAACAAGTAAAGAAGGTTTGTTTAACAACAGAATCTAATAACAATCACTTAAGGCTCAGTGATGAGATAAACAAAGATCATCAGTATAATTGCTAACAACAATCAAAATGATGCCACAGAGCAAAGACTAGGCGCCAAAAGAACAAGGGGTTTGCGAACGAAATAACTTATGAAGTAGTCCGAAAAAAAAGTCATGTACTTGCCAGGTAACCTTGGAAAAACCATTTAATCTCCCTGAGCATTAATTTTATCATCTATAAACCTGGGATAATACTAGTTTTACCTTCACAGTGATTCTGTAAAGATCAAATAAGATACTGATGAAGAAATATGAAAAATTCTATATACGTTATTCATAACTGTGTTTAAGAAATAAACTTATTAATACTTTTATAGAATAATATATTCAGGGAAATACATAGATCTCTATAAACAGATAAAATACTAAATTTCTGTGAATAACATTCTCTAACAGGTAGAGTACCTCTGAGATTTTCAATGTCCTCAACTACTTTTAAGAGAAAGAGTAGAGTGGGATGAAGACAGACAAACACTCTTTCTTTGGGAGGAGGGTATAAATGGTGAAGAAAGAGCACTAAAAGAGGTTAAAATTGTTAAGTAAGGGAAAAGCAAGCCATTAAAAAAAACACCATAAAACATGTTAAAATAGCTTGTAAGGAACAAAATGAAAGTAACAAAGATGAGACTACAAAAGAGCTACTAGGAAGAAAACATGTCCTCAAATGGTACATCTAGTTCATGCATTGTAAGTAAAAACACACCAACTGGCATAATCTCTGTAGACAGTAACTTAGCAATATCAACGTTACTACTCCTCTTCTAGAATTTACCTTGTAACTTCGTGTGGTAAGTTATATGAACAAGGCACTTTGTAACTGTGACAGACTGGAAATGTCTAAATGTTCATCGATGATTCAATGTTTATTGTACACCTATTAAATGGCACACTATGCACGGAGACAAGCACTGTATAATGATAAGAACTCTCTAAAATAAAGATTTTTAAAAAGCAAGATGCTGAAGTATGTACAGCATGCTACCTTTATGTAAAATATGTATACATATACCTATATAAGCAGACTCGCTTGTACATGTCTAGGCAGTGTCTAGAAAGACATACAAAATGGTTGTCTCCACCAAGAAGTTTGGAGACTGGGGCAAGGAGAGACTTTTCAAATGTATCTAACTCTTGAGTTTTGAACCTTTTGAAGGTATTATGCAGTCAAATAAATGTTGTTTTAAAGAAAATGATGTCTCAAGATTCTGGCTACATATTGATAGCACCAACTTGTTACACTTGGAGGAGGATCAGTTAACCCACAACAGGAAAGGGAACTTTTGAAAGCCCAGTTAGGCTGCAAAACTCATTAAGACAAGAATGAATAAAAGTACGATCAGCAGCAGAGCAGATCAATAAAGAACTTGGGGGGAAGGAGGGAGGGATCAGGAGAGCAAGTAAGAGCAAGGGAGAAAGAGGGGAGAGGGAAAGGGAAGAGAGAGGGGAAGAGGGGAAAGAGCGCAGGGCCGAGAATGCCGCCCGCGACTACATCCTGACGAGGGTCAGAAGAAACGGAGCCCTGAGCCGGCTGGCGTCCAGCTCTTCTTAGAACCATCAACTGACCTCGGATGGGCTTGTCGTCCTTCTCATCCTCTTTGGTTTTCCGCTGATCGGCACCGAGGTAATCCGGCATTGTAGCAGACCACTGAGCCTCTGCTCTTAGTGATTACACAGCACCTTCTTAGCTTCCGGTGGCGCCTTTCCTTTCCCTTCCCCACCGGAAGTAGAGCCGGCGTCGGCGCTCATTTGCGGTGCGCTCAAGGGGCCAAAAAATCCTGAAGAAAATGCTTGTGGCTTGGTGGTGCTGTAGGAAGATGACCAATCAGGAGGAACGTTGGTCCGCCTGACCCTTCCCCATTTTCTGTCTTTTACGGTCCCCGAGTAATGCATTTCAAGACCTGCCCTGGCCCAGTCCCTGACTCTAAATCCTGATTTAGTCATGGGTTTACTCTGCAGTCTAGTGTAACTTCTTTAATCTCTGAATTTAATTTTCCCTTTACCTCAGGGGATGGAGGTGTGGCTCACGTGGGAGAGCGCCTAACTGGAAAATAAGGAATTAATATACAAAATATACAAAGAACAACAAAAACAATCTGATGTTTAACACGGACAAAGAAAAAACAGAAGAGAAGATAGGCAAAGAACTTGTGTATTTTTTCAAAGAAGATAACAAATGGCCAACAAACACATGGGAAGATGAAGTTCAACATTGTTGATTGAGAAATGTAAATCAAAAGTAGCTCATACCCATTAAAATGATTATTTTTTAAAAAGTCAGTTTGGTGAGGATGTGGAAAAACGGAATCTTTGTGCCTCGTTGGTAGGAATGTAAAATGGTTCAATGGCAGTGGAAAAGTGTGGTGGGTCCTCAAAAAAATAAAAACAATCACTGTGTGATCTACCAATTCACTTATGGGTATATACCCCAAATAGTTGAAAACAGGATCTCAAAGAGATACTTGTACACTCATGTCCATAGCTGCCTTATTCACAATAGGCCAAAGGTGGAAGCAGCCCACTGTGCATCTACAGTGGGTAAGAAAAATGTGGTTTGTGCATACAATAAAATATTATTCATCCTTACAAAGGAAAGAAATATTGATATGTGTACAATATGGATGCACCATGAGGAAATTATACTAGTGAGTAAGTCACAAAAACACAAATACTACATGCTTCTACTTATATGAAGTACCTCATCAAATTCATGCAGATAATAAATAGGAAAAAAAGAAGTAGAAGAGTGGTTGCCTGGGGCTGGAGAAGGAAAGGGTTATTACTCAAAGTAAAGAGAGTTTCAGTTTTACAAGATTAAAAGAGTGCTGGAGATTGTACAACAATGTGAATATACAACTCTACTGAACTGTATGTACTAGAAATGATGAAGATAGTAAATTTCATATTATATAGTTGATGTGATGGTTAGAGTAGACGGGAGGAGGTGTGAGAAAAAATGTGTTAGAATGTTTGCACCTTGAATAATTTTAACAATGGCTGCATTAATAAAGGGTCAGAAAGAGGTTTTGGGGAGATGATTAGTTCCATTTTTATAATGCCAAATTTGAAGTGACAGTTTTGTCATGCAGTAGATATACAGGCCAATTCAGTGTTTTTAACAGTGAAAATTTAATCCCTAGAAAATAATTTGCTAATTCTAAGTGTCTTTAATAAATAGTGTCTCAAGTCCATTTTACTCAACCTATTCCAGATACTGCTGTTGGGAGAGATACTTCATGCATGGGTTTTCTTTTGCTTTTGACCTCAATTCTAGAAGGAAGCTTATTCATAAGAATACAGTTAACTTCACTGTACATTAAACAATTAATCCTCAGAGACCTGTAACCGAAAATATCTTGAAAGAAAAATTCACCTGATAGAGCATGATAAAAGTATTGCAGGCCTTGAAAGAGTGTTTTCTTATTTAAATGAGTATTAAAAGAGATAACGTAGGTAAACTAATAGCACGACAAATGTTAGCTATCATTATTATTAATGTAAACACAATGCACCATAGTTATACATAAGTAATTATGGATATATATGCTATACTAACCATTATCAATATTAGTTCCTACCCGACTCTTACTTATACAAGTAGAGCTACTAGAAAAATTAGACTAATGTATAAATTAGTAGCAGGAATTAAAAATATAAAGGGAAATGATTTTACTTTTGTGTGCCGGGTATTAACCCAGGGCCTCACCCTCCTGAGCAGCTTTTGTTTTCTATGTATTGCATTCAGGGAAGAAAATAATTCCTTTCACCGGGGACTGATTAGTCTAGGAACCATTCCTTCGTATGCCTTGCTCTCCAGCCGAATCAGAAACAGAGACGGAACCAGGGTGCCGCACACGTTGGCGCGGATGGTATCGGCGCACGCAGCACGAAATCCCATCCCGGAAGTGCTTACTGGTAGTCTCCATGCGCCGGTTCTCGTGCGTCGTATAGCTTGGGCGCGAGGCTTGGACCGGGAGGTAGAGCTGGAGGGGACGCTGAGGGACCTTCGCCTGGTCCGAGAGCCGACGCGCCCGCAGGTCTAGCCCTAGCGCCACAATGCTGCTCCTGCCTAGCGCCGCGGACGGCCAGTGCACCGCCATCACCCACGCGCTGACCTCTGGTAGGTGCCCGCCCGCCTCAGGCTCCTGCCTCAGTCCTGTGCCTCGCAGCCCCAGGATCTCTCCACCCGTGACCGCAGCCACGAGCTCCGGGACTTGTGGTGCCATGACGAGTGCCCTTTAGCTTCTTCCCACAAAGTAACCCGACCCTAGATTGGAAGATAGGGTGGGGGGCGTCTTCGTTCTGCACCCTGGGCTGCTGACTCATGGATCGGGCAGAGCGGTTTGGGACTGAACCCTCCAGTGGCCCATAAAGAGAGTCCCGTAAGCACCTCCTTGCCTAGGGCGAAGAGACTGACCGCAGCGAGCACCGCACGTGCCTGGAAGCCGCGTTAACGCTCTAGTAAACGCTTTCCTCGGCCTCTGGTATTCTCAGGCCTTGTATTCATTCCAAGTGGCAGAGTTCAGACACTGCCCCTTGTGCTTAGTATTAAAAAGACCCTTGCCCGTGCTACTGGAAAGGTTGGCGTAGACTTTGAAAGGCAGACATTACAAGTGAAACTACATCCTGCCGTAGATTCTTAGATTTATTAGCACTGGACAGCACTTAAAGTCTCCCGTCTCGGTGATCTACATGAAATCCCATAATCACTTATATAGACGCTTGTTGAGTGTGATTCTGAATGTGTCCCGTGGCACGTGTTGCATGTTTGTGTCTCTTTGTAATTATACAAGTTGGCTTGAAAGGCAGTTTTTAAAAGCCACACCCACACTAGAGGTGATACTTCTCTGGATCTGAATCCTCTCCTGTGTAAGTTGGAGGACATCGTAAATCTATCCAACTAAAGCGTGAAAAGTAAATTGCTTTTTTTGAAAAACTGCTCTTCCGATACAAGGAAAAACTTTGATCCAAGTTACTCAGTATCCAAATGGTTTTTTGATTTTTTTTTTTAAGGAATTTGGAATTAAAATTAAGAGTTCACTTTTTCCCGACTGAAATTACTATTTTTGAATTACTAATAAGCAGCTAGACAGTGATTTACCCCCACTTCCCAGAAATAAAGCCTTAACTTTTTGCATAAGTTTGTAATTCTCAAAGTGCTTTTATGCTTTCTGGTTCAGTCTTTAGGAACTGAGTTAGATATTGTTCTTATCTTACAGTTGAAGACCTCTCTGAATCATTTCAAGACATTGTCAGACCTAGACTAAACCCCAAAGCTTTTGGTCTAGAGTCACAGCTTGTTCCGCTCCTGCACACCTGTTGGAGTAAATCCCATTATCTGCTTGAAAAATTGTCTTTCAGAACAAGTCAGTGCTAGTGAATCCTTAAGCTAACTGGGAACCATTTAAATTCAAGAGTTTAACAATTAATGTAGTTTGAATTGAGTTTGGATTTTTTTTTTCAAGGCTAGCTCTTGGTGACATTTTATCATTCTTTATTGCTTTATTACTATTGTTTAAAAGAAAAGCACTTTATAACACTTTTTTCCTGTTTGTCACCTTCCTCACATATTTCCAGAAACATTGATTTGCTGTTGACGTTTCTGAATTTTTTAATTTGTCAATGAACTGATGAAATAATTTGTAAATGTTAGAATAATTTCTTGCTAACATTTATGTAAACTGGATGACTGCAATTATTTTCATAGTGGTTTTAAAATTATATTCTGATAGTATCATTGTTTTGATCTTCCTAAGAAAGCTTGTTGCCTTGAAACAAATGTATCCTGGGCAATCCAGTGGAATACATTGAAGTTTCTGTTAATGTTTTCTATCACAGCCTCTGCACTTTGTCAAGTTGAACCTGTAGGAAGATGGTTTGAAGCTTTCATTAAGAGGAGAAACAGAAATGCTTGCTCTTTTCAGGAACTGGAGGATAAGAAAGAGTTATCAAGGAATCAGAAGATGAAGAATTGCAGTTAGAGGAGTTTCCCATGCTGAAAACACTTGATCCCAAAGACTGGAAGGTACTTAATATCCAGATCCTTTTGCTTTATCTAAGCATTTAGACATAAGCAATATTACCATCAGTTTTCCATTAATAAACCACGTTTTAAGGCAGTTCAACAAGGTAAGCATAATTGAACACCTGTTTATTATTGTTAAGCCGTCTCTGGATAGCACTAGTCATAGGATACTATCTCAGCTGGAGAAATCCAGGAATATTTCACAATAAGATAATAAGGATGAGTGGCAGTTAATGAAGCAGAAGAGGGAGAAAAGGTGTTCTGTGCAGAAGAACTAGATGGGCAGAGACATCATAGAATAGGTACTGTCTCTTATGGGTTAAAGATGAGTAGAGTGAGGTAAATGAGGGGCAGTTGTGAGAAATTAGGCCTGAAACAGACTGAACCAAACTCTGATGTGTCTTTTTTTATGCTGTGCTGAAGAATGAACTAAATATTTTGAGGACAGTAGGAAGCCTAAGCTAATTTTAGAAAAATAGTTCTCCTGGAAGTACAGAAAATTGCTTGAAAGTGGGGTGGGAGGCAGACCTGGAGGGCCAGTGCACCAATCCAAGCCTGTGGAGACATGAATCAAATTTGTGGCTGAATTTTGAGGAAGAGGGTAGAGAGAGGCTTAAGGGGTAGCAGAAGAATTGACAGGGAGGTTTTCCGAAAGCCTCTCAACATTCTGACTTGAGTGACCTGCATTGTTGGTAACCAACATT